TTACAAGGTTCTAGATTTATTTTCTCCGGATGTAATTTTCACGAAACGAGTACCCCTAATATACACTCTGCTAAATAAGAAAAGATGAGAAACGTGACTTACGTAGATAAACATTTTTTACTTTGAGAAAAAAGAAACGATTTTTACCCTAGAGAATATATACCTAGTCTTTTTTTTTATTTCATCATCGGAAGCTTACTTTTGGTTCAGAGAATTTTAATTGGAAAGTTGACACAGCATTGAGCATTGCTGAATTAGGAGGGGGATATTATTTCGTTTTTAGCCAAAGTCTTTCGTCATATTAAAATATTTTCTCTTTGAAAAAATCTTCCCATGTGTAAATTAAAAATATATATTTTCAGTAGTTTATTGAAATCTCTTGTAAAAAATACACTTAATCTTCAGTAATTACATTTCCAAAAAAATGGTTTAATTTAATTCACTTATGTTCTTCGAATATCTCATGTCTTCTGTTATAAATCATGCTGTACTAAAACTTGATAAAATGTTGTTTTTTTTAATTCAGTATGAGTTTTACGGCGACAAGTCACGCATTTCGTGACTGCGTGATGTTAAAAATAGTATTGTTCCCAAATTTAAAGATTTCTTTCTTGATGTGACGTTTGCTTCTGAAAATTGTTTAAAAGCGAAGCAAAATTTTGGAATTTTACAGATTCCGCCTGTCGATTATGTCTGTCGATTCATTCATTATTTTTTTTCACGGACGATGTACGGGCACCAGAAAATGCTCGTAGCATTTGCCGTTTCGTTAGCTTCGTAGCCTAAAGCATCTGGGCGTCAGCCAGAACACGCGGGTTACATTCTTTATCTGGGCACTATAGCTTTGAACAATTTAAATCTCCTTCCATTATGGTTAGTTATAGAAGTCATCTTCATAGAAGAAATCTATGAAGTACATACATGTAGTATATTGTAGATATAGTACATACAAGTAGCATATTGTAGATGTAGTTAAAACTCAAAATAGACCATCTCGTTCGCCTCGCACGACTAGTGCGACCTCATAAGTGTTCTGACAGCCACGCACGCGCTCTTTCATTAGGCAAATTGACTGTAGCGTTTGGGAGGGTCGCAGTTTTTGCTGGAATTCAACGAGTTCGGTGGAGCACGGGAATAATTTATCATCAATTTCCAACTCGGGGCGCGCGGATCGATAGGACATGGAAAGTAATTTGTTCTTTACCCTGAAGTGTATTCGCTGTGACGCACCAGCATGCCGGGCCGGGCTCGCGCTTGAAAAATGGTGCGGCGCCCGCTGCCCGTTGCGAAAAAAAAAACGAAAGAAGAAAAAAAAAAACGAATTTGCTATAACCAATTCGTTTTCGTTTCGTAGTTAGTCTATGAGACTGTTGGCCCTTTCTGTGGCTAATTGGCGGAAGGGTTTGCACTGTGACGAGTTCTTTCAGTCATTAAAATAAGCCTCTTGTTCTTTTTATATTGTTTGTTATTGGTACACTTTTTACCTGACCTAGCGTTTACAGAGTTAGTTCGTACGTCAGAGGTGGAAATACTTGTAAAAAGGAAAACCGACGGATATTAATTGCAGTGTCGATCTAGAAGTTAATGTACTCTCTTTGTCTTATTTATTTCCGGCAAAATATTCTCCTGTATATCCTCTTGTATATTCTCCTGTATAAAATAAGTCCTGTGTTAATAAAAGAAATCTATAATATAATATTTATTTCATTATTTAGAAGCTTTATTACATTACTATGCTTGTATATAAATCTGTTTATCTTTCTATTCCTTTTTTCTCTTTCGATTAAAAGCTCTTAGTCACTCTCCCTTTCAGTAAAACGTGTCTAAGTGAATGTGAGAGTAAATGACACACCCATACTCACACAATCGCATTTGGTTATTCGTGTAAGGTATTTGAGACTTCCAAAGCGTGTTTGAAACCAAACTCTACCCGGCATGCAGGCTTCTCGCGTCTGCTGCTGTCTCCCAATAGGTTAGCCGTGGGTAGTAGCTGCATGCTCCGAACTCCGCTCCCCCTCCCTGCTTCCTAAGTCTCATGTGCGCGCAACAAACGGCGTCACCACATTCCGTCTTCTTTAAGAACCATTTCGGCTCGGCTGGAACGCACCCACTTGGCGCAGCGATCCTTGTCTGCCTCGAACCCAAGTTGCCTCGTTTGAGATTTGTTAGCACATTGCCTGGCAAATATTACTAGCAAATTTTGGCGCCTTGATTTTTCTTAATAGGCACTGTGAGTGATGCCCTTTTGAGGCGTTTCGGAGAAACGGATTATGCATTTCAAACTTGGCGCCTCCGCAGATAATCTTAATTTTGCCCAAAAAGCCGCGCGAATTTCTTTCTGTTGATCAAACGTTCAATCTTCGTACAAAATTCCTTGAAGTCGATTGTCAATGCTTTCTATTAGTTCGGAGCGTCACCGAAAGATCGCACAGCTCCTGGGCAACCCCGCGTAAAATAGGCTTTGTCAGAAATACTAGGAATCACTGATTTTCTATATCAGACGCCTGGTCGCATTGTCACCACAAGCTAATGCGGGAAACTGAGTAAAAGCATTTTGAAGGTCTTCAAGGTTCGATCCAGGGTCTTCCAGGCACCGGATGCAGTTGAAACATGAAGCAAAAACCAAGAAAACCACGGAATTCGTAAGGAAAGGTTTAATTTCGTTTGGACAGAGAACACTCTTGTCTGACAAAAAACTACTGATAGAAGAGGTGATGTTTTGTTGCAGCTTCTATATAATGCTCTCCCAAATTTTCTTCGACTATTTCGCCGCCTGAACAAGATTTGTTTGAGCGGAACGCAAGAACCGCGAGGAAGCTCGCTTCGCAGAGTTCAGATGTCAGTTGGCCGCGAATGTCTTGTGCGCTTGGCTGTTCTGTGGAAACGGCCTACTGGAATGAGAACAAAGGCACGTAGTAGATCATTACAGACAATTTAGCTCAAAATAAGTCATCCCGATTTAAGTGTAAGGTTCATTAAGACATATAACATGGCGAAAGACTACAGTCGCCCGCCCCACTGCTTGGTCCCAAATCGTGCTCCGAGGTTAATTTTTGCGGAAGAGAAGACGAAACTTGGAGCACGCTTTGGGAGAGATAAAGTTTGATGGACTCTCGACTTGTGTCTTTTTATCTCTGCTTGATATATTGTTTCAGTTATTTTAACTTGACCTAATTGTTGTTTAATAAATGAAGGAAAATGTATTGGTACGATAAATATCTCCATTGTGAAAGAAAAATTTACGTAGATTTTGTTCACGTGTGTTTAATGTTCTGGGTATTCAATAATTACTGAGAATACACTTCGTGAGATAAAATAGAGTACCTTATCTGCTTGACACGCAAACTCTGAGTTTGCTTGTGTTTTGGATTGTGGATTGAGATTATATTATCCGGTTTCATGATTTCCATCAACTTGTAAACTATACACATTAACCATAACCTTGTAATTCGTTTTTAAGCTTTTGAGTGTAATGTGACTATAGGGTTACAAAGTAAATGAGCATGTACCTCATGAACAGTCATTTTATCTCATAACCATTACACGCAGGTTTTTTCACCCATTAACTGCAGTTACCGCTCTCAAAAATTCGTACCTTCATTTATTGTAATAATTCTCAATATGTCATGCAATCTGTATATGCAATGTCGATCTGTGTGCAAACTTGCATAATTTAAATAAAGTGAGTTGCAAAAGTCAGAATAGTGCATTGGTCACAAAAGTATGTAGTCAGTCGCCAAGATAACCCTTTCAAATTTCACCGGAAGAGTGGGAACAGAATCATTGTAGGTATAGCAAAAGTCGTAACGAAGAAAATTATGCAAGACACAAGTGTTTGTCAAGAATAGGTGGGAACAATTGATCATATCGCCTCAGATTATTCTGTTCGAGCGAAGACTTTTTAAATTAAAAGAGACGGTAGGGTGTGTAGTTACGTTCACTGGCTTTGAAGTTCTACTCTTTTGCTTAGAGTTGTACGATTTCTGGCAAAAACTTGCGTCCTGTAGATCTCGTGTTCGTACAATAGCTCCAAAGAAAAGTTTATTGTTTTTTGGGATTTCGAAAAAATATTTTGGCTAGTAATAGAAGTGCCGTTCTATCGGAATCCAGAATCATAAACGAGGCAGAGAAACGTATTAAATTCAACTGTCAGAAAATCGAAAATAGCCGCAAATGGGGTGTAAAAACACAGGTCAGGTCGTAGTTACTTGAGGTCTGGAAACTTCCGCTAAATCTGCGGAATAAAGGGGTCAGAACTTGTGAAATTCCCAGACCATTTAAAAGGCTGAGAAGTGCAAGACAATGCGTTATTGGATTCGGACCCTATTTTCCGCGAAGTATTGTAGAGCCACCCACAGTTCCTGAATCAGCTTCTAACTCAGACATTACCACTATTCTTATAGGGGAAGAATGACATACATAAGTAGGATAATATGTGGAAAATAAACTTCAATTAAAAAGGAGTTTTCGAAGATGTTTTGAAAATGTCCGTACTATCTTACAAACTTCTCCCGCGTTTTCTCGAAACTTACAAGAACAACTTTTTTTTTAAAAGGAGACACAGTTCCTGAATCAGATTCTAACTCAGACATTACCACTATTCTTACAGGGGAAGAATGGCATACATAAGTAGCATAATATGTGGAAAATAAACTTCAATTAAAAAGGAGTTTTCGAAGATGTTTTGAAAATGTACGTACTATCTTTCAGACTTCTCCCGCGTTTTCTCGAAACTTACAAGAACAACTTGTTTTTTTAAAAGGAACTTTTGCAGTTGTGCGAATAAGGGTTTAGACGTTCTAGTTGAAAAAGGCCTTCCGAGCTGGGTGACGCTTCGCCTCACTGCAACTGGCCAACCCAGCGCGCAGCGGCAGGTCCCCGGCAGGTCCCCGAGCCACTGCGACAGGCGACATATTTCATCGCGTGGGGGGTTGTGACTGCTGGAGAAAGCTCCTGTCCGCCCGCCCGCCCGCTTGCGTCGACGGAAAATAAATATGAATCTCCCGCTGGCAGTATATCTGTCCCGAGTTTGTGGCTGCATGCCATTGACGGAGCGGGTGGCCCGCTGGAGTGGATGGCATTTGAGGAAATAGGACGTTGGAGGTTATCTGGAGGCGAATCGGTTAACCCAAAGAGAGGCATGGGAAGAAGGAAATTTATCTTCAGCCGAAATGACATTCAGGTTTGTATACATTATCCATTCATTTGTAATTTGAAAGCAGTTAACTCTCATTAACTTTGTGGGAAAATGTCATTTAATTAACGTAATATACAAGTGTACCTACAGATGTGAGATAATCATTACACATTTCGAAATTGTACTTCCTGAAAAAGGCAGGAGTTGTAGTGTTTCATGTATGAAATAATGTGACAATTGAACATTAAAAATGTTGAAAACATGTATTTTCATTTCGGTGACTTAGATTTATTATCTGTAAAGTAGGTAGGGCTTTTATCGTTACATCGTTAGAGAAATATTAGGAAGATTTTAAAAAAAATATATATTATACACTTCTCAACTTATGATCTAGTTATCAGTTTCTGGTTTTATATCTTCTCCTTTAGGTTTAATGACGGCAAAGACATTCAGAAATACTAATGTTCTCTGCGAACTCTTTTTTTGCTGACGAAGAGATCTCGATCGCAAATATTAAACGACTATCTCTCAGTACGTGGACTCTATCTGGATGGGATCCGGCTGGGAAGAGATTTCATCTTGAGCTTACACGATGAAACGATGTTCCTCCTTAGGCAGTATTTGGTGGCATGTAGAGCTTCGGTTTTATGACGACCTCATCAGATGGAAGTGAAAGTAGATCCGCTTACAAGGACCCTCCGTTTTTGCTTCTTCGTCCACGTGATTACCTTTTCTGATGTCTGAAGAGGCACTCGCTTTAGAGAAGATGCTAATGCACTCTCTATCACTTCTTCTAGATCGTAAATGTAAGGGAACATCAAAACTATCTTCACGCTTCTACATATTTTTTTAACAGATCTTTACTCCCTGAAAAACAAATCGTGCTGATATTCAGGCATCCCTGAGCATTCCTTACAGATTGCTAATTCAACAGAATATACAGAATACTCTCGTGCTGTGTATTATTTCTGTCCCTACAATATCAATGATCACTCATGTGGTGAGATTACTCGTTAATGTCTAAATTCGTTTAGATTTATTTCATTTTACTACTGCAGTGCGCTTGTGGCATTTTACACGTGTGGGATGAAATTGTGATATAGTTGTGCAGTCCGTGAAACACTGATATTTGAACGTAGTTTTCCTCACAATTCTGTTGTGAATAATAATTGGATGAAAACAAACAGGGAATATACTTCTATTTTTCTGTAGTGGCCGATGCCTTTAGGTCATTGTTACATCTCCTGCCGTATAAAACGAATGGTTTTAACAATGGTAAGCACATTTATGAGGCCAGGAGCCCCGTTGAGAAAGACGTTCGCAAAAGTTAATTAAAAAGGTTGATTTTATAAGACATGAGGTGTAACAATGACCTAATGTCATCGGTAACTACAGAAAAGTGGAAGTATAAGTAATTGTTTCGCCAGAAGGGGCAGAGCTTTCCGCCAAGTGTGTTTCTAATTGAAACGGTAAATGAGCCATCGCACTTGCTCGCAGATTAAAATTTTAGGACGGACGTGCTGTACATTATAAAAGAAGGAACAAGGATGTTTCGATAACGCTTCACCAGTGATGCATTCAGAAGCAACCTGGTAACCTCTCATTAACTTCAAGATACACGGAAGACGTTTCCCATCCTGGCACACTGGCGTGCAATATCTGTAGAGCCAAGAAATGTACCTGTTTCGTTCTCCGCTACGCGAAGAGCTCCTCAAACAGGTCGATGTTTGCGAAGTTATGCTTGCGCAGCGGGAACAAAAGAGGGTCTCCCGAAAGAACAAACCCTCCCCTCCCCTTCTCCCCCGCGCGACAACTGAACTCGAAGATTAATTCTCAGGAGGCCGAGGGAGCGGTGTCCAATGCTAGGAGGCCGTTCCTTTCTCCTCTTCCTCCTTGTCTTGCTTACTCAGGCTTGGCCAGGTGTGAGGGTCGCCCCAAGGACGACGGAAAGAGAAAGAAAGAAAGAAAAGGAAAAGGGAAAAATGGGCAGAAGAGTCTTTTGTATTGAGTTGACAGATCTCTTGTCTCCGAGAGCGGCTTTCGTTGGTCTTTGACTGCGATAACGAGTTTCCCTTTAAGTGGTACTTTTTTGTTTTAAAAAAATGTTCCGCTGAGTAACGTTTGATCATGAATTCTCTAGTACTGTACTATCTGTGAACGGATGTATCTTTTTATAAACGTTACTGTATTAAAGATCGTAAAATGTTTGTAGGTAAAGTATTTAAACTACTAATCTGGGCGGTCCCAAAAATTGGAATAGTATTTTTTTAAAACCATTATAATACTATTAGGAAAATCATATGCAAAATACACCTTAATATTCGCAATTTAAGTATATTGCAGCAGAACCTCTCTCTTTCGCCCGAAAGTAATATATCAAATTATTCAAAGCAAATACTGGGACATTAAAAAGTTGTTTCTATTACTTTATTATCGATTTTGGCCAACTCGGGTCACTTATCCATATACCACGGTGATACATAAATATCGTAAGGGCAATCAGATAAAAAAGGCTTCTCTATCGACTTCATTTTATCAACTTTCGTCGAAAAATAATGTGTGCATGATTAAAATGTCATAAAATGTGTTCTTGTGTGATATCATGGATATTGGAGTAACCAATGCAAAATACCCAAGTTTGAATTCGATCCCTTAACCTCTTGAGTCGAGGCTCTTCACGATTGCTTTCTGACTCGCCTCTTCTTCTAGTTATCTCCTTATATTAATAAGAAATGAGTTTATGCGTTTTTCAATGTCGAGTATTAAAAGTGACATTGTGATATACAACTGGTAATTCCATTATTCCGTACATTTCAAATATTGATTCGTCCGACAAATATTGTTTCTGCGGTGCACCTTTTTGTGTCCAAAACCAAATAGTAAACTTTGCCAAATGCATTCTATACTTCCATGCGTTGTTGTACAACAAGTTTTGTGTTATCGCATACATCCAATTCACCGCTGCGTCATCCGAAATCCGTCCTCCCGACTAAGCGGAGCATTTCCGAGCGTTTCCTCCGCGGTGTAAACATCCTGGCGGCTCGGCACGGGGGCGAACACGTGTGGGATTGACGGCGCTGCGAGCCTCCCCGGACGAAAGGCGTCTTTTAAAAGCGGCAGTGCGCGCGGCGGCGCGAGGCAGGGCGGGGTCGCGTGGGCGCGGAGGCGACGGACGCCTACGCCACAGGAAGTGCACCCTGCAGCGCTGCCGGCGCGGCGCGGCGCGGCGCGGAGCGCGTGGCTTGGCTGGCGCTGGCACAGCGGTGGGCTGCTCCGGCGAAACAAACAACGCGAGAGGCGCGGCGCGTTGAAGTCCTGAGGTGCAGAGCAACTGGAGAAATTCGTGATTTTTTGTCTTTTCTTTCGTTTTTTTTTCTTCTATCGTTTTTTTCTTTTTTTCTTCCTTTTTTAAAATTTTTATTTTATATTATTTCATTTTTTGTTAAGGAAACGAGAATGAATCTGTAATGTAAATCGTTGGGAGAAGTCGATGAGACGTAGATGCGGAGATGTATTAAAAAATAATCATGGTAAATTAATAGTTTCTAGTAAGGATTGTGCAAATATTTCGCTCTTATTTTGGAACATAACTGTGAACGGCCAGGCACTTAACTGTATGGTGTAGGTATATAATAATATTAATAATAATAATAATAATAATAATAATAATAATAATAATAATAATAATCTAATGTATTAGTTACCTTTTGAATTGGATTAAAATGCTGAATAGCCTGTAAACTAGTTTAATCGTCTTCAGGGCCAATGACTTCCATCTGGACGGTACGAGCCCTTCCAGTTTTCCTTGATCCATTGAGGAAACAAAAAGAAAAAAAATAGACTTCAAAAATTCATGAGAAATGTATGTCCGTTGTATAGGAAAAACAGGAAATCTCTTTTCTTGTCCAATAATTTTTCCTATACTGTAGTTTTTAAGATAAACATGATGTGGTTGGTACTCGTTTTCCGCTTATGTTAATTCAAACATCGAAAAACGCTTTGAATGGAAGACCTAGTATTGGCCCTACCTAATATTCATTGATTTTTTGTTAAAAATGCATATTTTGAGCAGGAAATGTCGGATTGTAAAAAAGGTATCTAAAAAAATTAATTTCATGAAGAAACGTTATGAGAAGGACGTTGAAAATACTGCAGGAGTCAGGGATTTTTCGACTTTTTATAATCTAGAATTTGCAAGTAGAACATCCCAGATGTCAAAGACGCTTACGATGCACATTAAATATGGCACTTATGTATAAAACGTTATAATTAATTTAATAATTTTCAAAGGCCATTTTCTTGATGATGTTTATTGTTGATGTTTGAAGGGTACACAAACGTGACTGGCAGTACACGTTGTCAAGCGAGAGAACCACCTCGTTAACCCATTGTTGCCTTACGCACTTACCGTGCATTGCTGACTCACAGCTTTAATTAGCTTGTGTCACATACACTTTGTTCTACATGCTTTGCAATACGCTATTAAACTAATGGAGAACTCGATGTCGAAAATCAATTAAATCAAAATCAAAAGCGTTTCAAAGAGGCTAAAATAGTAGTAGTACTTTGATATCATATCGCTTATTTATATACAAAATTTTCATCGAAATTCGATAATCGACAAAATTATAACGTGAACTATGTTTTCACCAAATGTAAAATGTAAATGCATCAAAAATTGGATTTTATATCATATCTAGGAGAGCTCCGTTTCTTTGCGTTTTGCTCGAACTTCCTAACTCGAAAAGAGTGAACTAACTCCCAGTCCCAACACATCACAAGCGTCTTACTTCTTGGTCGTTGCCTCGTTTTGTTTGCCGGTTGAAAAGCCTGACGTGGCGTCGCGGCGCCTGCTACTCGTTTTCCGGAGTTGGGCGTCGCGGCCGGTGGCTGGAAGCGGTGCCCCCCCCCCCACTCCCACGCCTCCCTTCGCATCGCGCATCGTTGTGGCCTCGCCCACGCCTTCCCCACCCGCGCCACCGCCAGGGGTGGCCAAATCGTCAGCGGTTGGCGCAGGCGTCTGCGTGCCTTGCAGCTTCGTATCT